TATTTCACTATAATATATTTATACATAATTTTATATTTACTTTATAAGTTTATATAATTATTTTTAAACAATATATTTTTTAATAAAATTAACTAAATATAGAATTATTATTTATAATAAAAGTAAATTATTTTATTAAAGATTGAATGATTAGTTAAAATTTGATTTGATTAGTATTAAAAGTAAATTTAATAATTATAATATAAAAATAATAGTAAAATCCTAATAATAAGTAAAATAAAAGATTTATTAAATATAAAAAAATAAAACAAATACTTTAATAAAAAAATAAATTTTATATTATTTATTAAAAAACTTTTTTAGAATAAAATAAATTGCAATATTAAGAAAAATTCATTATTTTATATTTTTGAGAATAATATAAAATTATGCTCTTTTTTCATAAGTTTTCTCTTATATACTTATTATGACTAATTAATATCATTAAAATAGTTTATAAATAATAAATATTTTTTTACATTATATCTTTCTACTTAATTAAAGTTAATAAAGATATTTTTCTTAAATTACAATATTAATTGATCTTAAATTATCAAAAATTATATTATTTTTATATAATAAATCAATTAAATATTTAATATAATAATTTTATATTTAATTTCTCTTTAGTAGTGAAATCTTTAATTATATTTAAAAGATAACTTATATAAATTAAACAAGTATTAAATATTATCAATTACTTGTTGAAATTTTAAATTGAAATTTTTATCATTTTATTATTTTTATAATATTTATTTTTCATTCAAATATAACATTATCCTGAATTTCTAGCAAATTTTGTAAATATTTTCTCTAGTACATAAATTATATATTAATATTATATCATTGAATAAATTTAAAAATAATTTTTTGATTTTTAACTTTTGCTACTAAAATAGATAATTAAATATATGAAGTATAAATGAAGAATATACTATTAAAAGTAGTTGAAAAAAGAAAAATAGTTTTTAATATTAATATTATAAGACTTGGATTGCAATTTAGTACAATAATCAGTAAAACTTCTAAAAGGTTTATATAAAATAGTAAATATTCTAGCAATTTGTATAAACTGTGTGCAATTTCTTATAAAACTATATAAATCATATTTATGAGATTATTTACTTTTACAAAGTTTGTAAATTAATACCTAAAGAAATATTAGCATATTAAGTAACCAAAAACTAATACAATATATTTTTTACTAGAAATGCATAACATGGTCCTGCTGAGCATAATAAAAATGCTGAATAAATAGATATATTTGAAATATTATTAAATTGTTGAAGCTTTCCTTTCATTAACCTGTCTAAAATTTTGTATAATAAATAGATGCTTGCAAAAGTAGATTACATCTATCTGTAAAAATTTATTATGAATAACTAATGAAACATCTATATTGATTCCATTTACAATTTTTGATCTAAATATATATTTATCATTTTGCAAATTACCATCTCCAAAAATCAAGAGTAAACTCTATTATGGTAGATTGTTTACATTTCTCATCTATATAAAAATCTGATATGACTTTAACAAAAGAAAGAATTTTTTTACATATTTTCATATCCACTTCAATAGTTTAACAGTCTTTGAGAAATTGTGAAAAAACTTCATGGTATAAAAATAACAGGTTGTCAATATAATCTGAATCTATTAGACAATGACAATGTATATTGATATTTCTTTGATGTTTTGGAAATACTTGATATATAGTAGCAACAGATAAGAATTAACCAAATGAATGTGATCAAAAGTAAATAATTGTTTCTTCCTCATAGTGATAACATTTCCCAACACATTCATGCTTGGTTTCAATAAGAACTATAATTGAATAATAGCAGTAACAAATAGAAAAAAATAGCAATGAAGTTATTTGTATTTTGTAAATGTAAAATATTCAACATAAAATGGTTCTTATTTGACTTTTTAATGGATCCTTTAATAGATAAAAGATGAATAGAAAACAAAAGAATTAATTCAGGATAAAATGGGTGGATGGATAGATTTAATTAAAAATGAAATAATTAATAGCTAAAAGCAACAAGTTAGTTGATATTGCAAGCAGTATACAATTACTCAAATGGATAAATAAATAAACGAAATGGAACGAATGGAAATAAATTTTTTACGCGATTTATTCATTACCTTTTTTCTTTTCCAAAGCCGGCTAATTTATTTTGTAAAATAATCACTTGATCTTCCCACTTCACTTTCGTCGGCAATAAGTTTTCTTTTTCTTTCTTCAACTAGGCTATCTTATTTTCCCACCTCTTCTCTGTTTTTCACTCAAGCTCCCCTTCATTAATTCATCTTCTATCTCGTTCAACTTCTCCCCTTTATATTTCCCCTTCTTCCACTTCTCAAACTCCTCGACTGCCTTCTTAAAAAATCCTTTTGCATCGTTTAATTCGGTTTTAATTTCTTCTTAAAAACATTTTTTTTATTGATTAAGATCGTTTCTTATGCATAGAGATTATGCGCAGATAAATCAATTAATTTTATACCAGTAAATCCTTTCAAATCTAAGTCTACTTCCAAACTAACTTCTTTTCGATCAATGATAAATTAATGGGCACATGAATTGGAATCTACTTTACCAAAAACCTGGACAAAAAGAATATGCATTGGGAGTCTTTCATTTATTGCAATATCACGTGTTGGTGCTCTTAAAAATATTCACTTTAAACATTTTCACTCAATAGGCTTTAACGAATTCGGACCTGTAAGAAGCTATTAACGATTTGAACATTAAAAAATATATGTATCACACTAAAAAAATCGAATACAATAAAAAATACATGATTTTTATTATATCTGAATTAAGCCCTGTAATAACCTAGTTGTATTATGCTATTTTGATAAAAAATCTATGGTTGATATTAAAATAATATTAAGGATTTTGTAACCAATTTATCATGTTATCCCATCGTAAAGGATGAATAAGTATATAACCCATTGTTGTAATAATTCTTTAACAAGTTTAAATTCTAATTCATAAAGGGTAGGAAGTTCTTGTCTATATATTAATGAAAAGAATTAAAGCAAGGCTTATCTTTACAGTCTTCACGAATATGAAGCACAATTTAACTTACAGATCGTTCAAGGTGCGAGCAGCAGCTCCGCTTAATTTATAATCTGGTATTGAAAAACTTTTGCGATTCGGTTGAGGTAACGAGGTGTTTCTTTGATAAATCGGTATAATATTTTTAACGAAATATCCTACTGAATCCAAAGCCTTCGTTGCCGGTTCAAGGAAGTTAAACATTTGAAACACGTGTACCATATCTAATTCATTAAAGATAAGATAAATATTAAGGGTTGGAGTACGTCACAAATCAGCTAAACCTATTTCTCGAATGATTTACCTTCGTAAACTTCGTGCTGGACAAATGTCGTTCCAGTTTCTGAAGCTTTATTTGCCAACAAGTAAATTTCATCCCGTAACACTTCGGAATCACCACATTGTATTAATAAAGGGGGTAAGCTATTTAAATCCCCATATAAAGGTGACACGTAAGGATGGGTAACCATTTTTGCACGTTCTTCATAAGGGTGCAAATATAATTTGACCGGATGTAAGGGATCATCGTCCTTTTGTTTGAAGAGATAATCGTAATGTTGATTTTGAACCCAACTGGCACATGACATGGTTAAATCGACCCAAGGCTATATATTTATAAATGTGAAGGTTTTGTTTACCTTTCTTGGAAAGAAAAGATGACAACCACAAATACCTTCTTTATTTATAACAAATCAACTTACGGAAAATAATACTGCGCCGCCGGGCAATGGCATGTGATTATCCCTTAGATAGAACAATAATGCTAAGGCTGATAAGGTTAAAAAAGGATTAAGTATAAATTTTTAGCGGGGAATTTTTTAGGAAGCATAGATATGTATTAAAAATAGTACATACCTAAACCACCTCCGGCACTATCGCCAGCGACAACAATATTTTCTGGATGAATCGCCAAACCATTGGGATCAGTCAAATAAAGGAAAGAATGAACTACGTCATGTAGACCACACGGGAAGGGTCCTTCAGGAGCGAGTCGATAATTGATGGCTAATGTCGTAAATATGGATATATGAAGTTAGTTGATCATCAAGGATCTTACCAAATATTGAAGATCACACGTCACGTGGGTCAACGGGATCTCACACACTTACCGAAAACTCTTCTTCCGGTTACTTTTGAAATACGATAATTTATTTCACGATGAGTTTTCGCAGACATTAAATAATAAGCACCGCCATGTACATATAAGATAACTTTCTCATTTGACCATTTTATTCCATCATCATCAATATAAATATGCTTAGAATTAGCAGCGGATGAACGAAATTCTTCATTAATTTTCCTCCAAAGTGATTTAGGAACAACCCATTCACAACTTATTTCCCTAACACCAGTTTCTTTCTCTTCAAGTTCTTCAAGTATACCTTGTAACCCTCTATTTAAAACCTTAAATGAAACTGGAGTTACGATAATATCCGAAGGGGTGAAAGCAAAGGGGATATTAATGAAACGTCTTAACATTTCTACGTCAACTAAATGAGTATGATCCGTTAATGTTCTCATTGCAGCGCACATTAAAGTAAGTTGAATTGGCCAAGAAGGTTTCCTTGGGCCCGATAAATGATGTGTGAAAAAATTTGCTGTTAAAACTGTTGCCTGAGAAGTAAGTAATGCTGCATGGTCGAGTAACAACCAACCACCATCATTATTATTACTACGAGGACAAGAAGATTTAACCAAAACGGATTTTGATTTATTATTATTTGTTGAATCATCATTTTGATGATTTTGACTTTTTCGTAATTTATTTTCGATTGAAGTTTGAAATGACGCTAAATCATACATCTTTTTTTTTTTTTGAAAAAAATTTTTAAATTGGGATGGGTTTTTTATTTATTTATTTAATTTTTTTTTTATGTTATTAAATTATATGATGTGGGGAGGGTAGGCGTCGATCTAAAATGTAATTACTGTATAGATGGTAAGTGGGAAATATAATCTTGTTGTAATATATTTAAGAATAATAGAATTTAATGGAATGTAATGGAATGCAATGAAAATATTAAATCAAAAAAAAAAAAAAAAAAGATTATTTTTGATTGGTGTTGTTAGCAGATTTAGCTTGTTGATAAGAGAACTTTGAATGAGGTTAATTTGACAAGAGAATTTAATGATGAAAAGTATGTAGTTAAAGTTTTTTTTTTATTTAAACTAATTCTTACATTTAAATTTTTGTTAAAACGATAGGATTCGAATCCTTTTCAAGGTTACACCAGTAGAATTTCTGGGTGATGAATCAGAATTTCTTGATGCTGAGGCAGAGGAGGAGGAAGAGGAAGTAGATGAAATTTCAGAACAATCCGAAGAAACAACGGCGACATCAGCAACATATGAAGGGGGTAAAAACGAAGAATTAATTGATTCTTCCGATGTACGTACGATGAATTTTTTTTTTTTTTGATAATCGAAAATGAGATGGTAGATTTAATGATGATAAATCAAGTAATCAGATAGGGACATCTGAGTTAAATTGATGAGAATTACTTTTGGGAAAAAATGATTTCTGATAGATTAAAGAATTTTTTAAAAAAATGTATAGAAAGTTGACATGGCAATTAAGGTCGTTAACATTACCTTTTATTTGTTATTCATAGGAAGATTTTGAAGAAGAACCAGATCCTGAAAAAACTCTAAGATGTGCTATAACGATCGAAAAAGTAAATTACGCATGAGTCGTTTTTCTCGTGATAAATCAATATATTAAAAAGAAAACTTTTGTTTTTTGTTTATAGAAAGAAAAAGGAGTATTAGCATTCGAAGCATTTGCTCGTGAAGGTAGTTTTTTAATTGACAATATTTCATTTTACGAAGTTCCACAAATAAATCATGTGAAAATTGCTACTCCCTTTCTTAATTTAAGCCGAGTAAGTATTATAATAACCATTTTTTTATTATTTTATTTATTACCTTTACATTATTTAAATAATAACAATATTATAATGATAAATATTTGAGATAATTTTAGGAAATTTTAAAAGGAAAATTAAATTAAATTTTATTATTTTATTATTATTTTATTATTATCTTTACTTTTAAATAATAATGATATTATAGTAATAAATATTTAAAATGATTTCAAAGGATTTTAAGAGATAAATAGATTTTTTATTATTTTATTATTATTTTATTATCTTTTTATATTAAATTTATTTTATTTTATATTTTTAATAGAAAATTAGTCAGTAAGTTTTGTTAATATTTTTGTTATATTTTTATAAATTTTATATTAAGTTTTTATTATTAATAAAAATTTTAAATATTTAATAAATTTAATTAAATAAAAATATGATTTTATATGTTTATTTAACTTAATTAATATTCAATTTTAGGCTGATTTATAATTATTTAAGTTTTGAATGATGATAAATTATTTGTCTAATTGAAGTTGATCAATATTATTTTAAGCTAATTTATAATTGAATTTAAATTTTAAATTAATGCTAATTATTTATTTAATTAAAGTTAATCAATAATAATTTAAATAATCAGAAATATGATTAAGTAACTGTAAATAGTATCAAAATCAGCTTAAATTTAATTATTTGATTTCTAACTGATTTGGATATTTTGATTAATATTATTAAAATTATTAAAATATAAGATTTTGATTTTTGCTATTTTAAAAATTTATTTTATGATAATCTTTTATTAAATAAATAAATAAATATTAGTTTTTATTATTTTTTTTTATAAAAATATTTAATTTTAAAAAAAATTTATTAAATATATATAAAATTTTAAAATTTTAATTTTTTATATATATTTAAATTATTAATTAAAAATATTCAGCAATATATTAAATGAAAAGATTATAAGATATTTATTATTTTTTTATATAATTATTTTACATTTCATTTTTTATATAAGTTGAATCAATGAAATTACTTTTAAATATATATATAAAATTTTTGATACAATTTTTAAGTTATATTATAATAAAAAATAAAAATATAAATTTAATTTATCTAGTTTAACTAAAATTTTTTTTTGTTTAACTATTTGTAATAAAAGCTTATATAATTTATATTATTTTAAATTAATGATTTTTATTATATATAGTATATATATATATATATATATAAATATTCAAATATATATAAAAAACTTAAAATTGAATTTAAAGCTAATTTATTAATAAAGTTTATGATAAAGTTATATATTTGACATTATTGTATAACTTTAATTATAAAATATATATATATAAATTAAACATTTAATGATAAAATATAAGTGTATAATAATAAATTAATAGTAATGTATAATATGATTAAAGAAAATGGTAATTTTTTTTAATAAGAAAATGCATTTATACAAATATAAGCATTTATAAAATATTTTGTTAATATTTGAAATTAATATTAACAAAAAAAATTTTAAAAATGGTTAAAATCTTATATAATTTATGTAATGCTTTTTTATGAACTGATATTTATATATTTTTTTTAAATGTCTATAAATTTCTTCACATTTTCTAGCCAAAAAATATATTCTTGATTTTCTTTATGAGTAGAATATCTAAGTATATAATGTGATAAATCATCATTTATACCACGATGTTCTAAATATTTAATAAATAAATGTCGAAAATCCTTATATCAAAGGGGGGAATTTATAAATAAATTAATTGATGAATTTAGATAATTAATTATAACTTGGAAAAAAAAATGGTTATCATAATACTTACTCGGCTTAAATTAAGAAAGGGAGTAGCAATTTTCACATGATTTATTTGTGGAACTTCGTA